ACAGAGAAAAACAAACTCCATTGTGATTTTTATCTTCATACAAACTGGAGATGACACTGTGTATGTTGTGACTGTCTTCTTTTCCTGGGTAGATGGCATGTAGAGATTTTGGCTACCAAAGAGGAACTGGCAGATATTGATAGACATAAGGCCAATATTAATCTTCTTTTTCCTTAATATTAGAACCCATTGGGAGATTGGCAACAGACAGGCCTAAAACAAGAGCAAATGTTTTCCTCACTCCTTGGAATTAGGTCATGGCCCTATGACACAGTATTAATCAATAAAATATATCATTCTCTGATATCTTTATCTTTCTTCCAAAAATGTGGGCTTAGTTAAAACTCTAGCAGCCACGGCCAGGCTCGGTGGCTCAAGCCTGTAATCCCAGCACTTTGGGAGGCCGAGGCGGGTGGATCACGAGGTCAAGAGAACGAGACCATCCTGGTCAACAGGATGAAACCCCGTCTCTACTAAAAATACAAAAAATTAGCTGGGCATGGTGGCGCGTGCCTGTAATCCCATCTACTCATGAGGCTGAGGCAGGAGAATTGCCTGAACCCAGGAGGCGGAGGTTGCGGTGAGCCGAGATCGTGCCATTGCACTCCAGCCTGGGTAACAAGAGTGAAACTCCGTCTCAAAAAAAAAACAAAAACAAAAACAAAAACAAAACAAAACAACAAAAAAACTCTAGTAGCCACTTTTGCAGCCATAAGTCAAAGGCCATAAAAATCCCCAAGACATTTTACTTAATTTCCTTATGTGCCTGAAGCAACATCAGGTATTACTCTCTCCAGTCCTCTCGTTAAATTGGAAAGTATGTTTAAACCACTGTGGTCAGTTTATCTTACACACAGCAGAATGTAAATCCTAACTTAAATGTCTATTTTCAAACCACTGGTCTCCTGAAGGGGAAGCAAAAAGATATTTTATTCCGTGAATAAGTTAAGGAAGCGAAATCTGGGCATTTAATTGTACCAAACAAAATTTGCCAAGCTGTCTTCTAAGTCATCCATCTCCAGAAGTCCCAACACACAGTTCCTCCTGTCCATTCGAAGTTTCTGTCTCTCCCAGGATTGCATATGGTATCATGGCATATCACATATTTAAGACGTTGAGAACTAACGTCTTTTTTTTTTCTTTCACAAAGTTCAGTAGCCACTGTCAAGTTCAGTTACCGCTTCCTAGTTCAATTATCATCTTCCTCAAAGGAGTTGATTTCTCTTATCTGATTATTGTTTTCTTTCTTGTATTGTCTGTCCTTGTGGATTGGTATGTTATTTACCCCCATCAATCCTTTACAGCCATTATTTTGTTGGAAAATATTAAAATTCTTGCCTAATCATCAGGGGACACAAAGTCAATGATTCTTTTTTTTTTTTTTTTGAGACCGAGTTTCGCTCTTGTTGCCCAGGCTGGAGTGCAATGGCACGATCTCGGCTCACCGCAACTTCCACCTCCTGGGTTCAGGCAATTTTCTTGCCTCAGTCTCCTGAGTAGCTGGGATTACAGGCACACGCCACCGTGCCCAGCTAATTTTTTGTATTTTTAGTAGAGACAGGGTTTCACCATGTTGACCAGGATGGTCTCGATCTCTTGACCTAGTGATCCACCCGCCTCGGCCTCCCAAAGTGTCGGGATTACAGGCTTGCGCCACCGCACCCGGCCGTCAATGATTCTTTTTTGGCAAATCTTTAAATATGTTCAGGTATGTACTCATTTAAGAAAATCCCCATCACAACATGAGTTCCTACTTCTTACTCTTTTTAAATGACTATATAAGCTTCTTTTGCTCCAAAAATTTAGCAAAGCATTCTTTCAGTTACATTTTTCTCTGACATTTAAATATTACATCAATTGATGTAGCTTTTTGCACATTTGCCATAAAATACATGAATAAAAATTAAAACGAGGTTTCCTATTTGTAGATTTATAAGTAAAGCTTTATTTCTTGAGATCTTTGAAAATTTCAAATACAGTAATTATCCTAAAATGATATCACCACAACCACCAATAATGTCACATCCTAAGCTTTGACTTTGGCTATACCCGTGGTGACAGTACTGCGGGAAATTACACTTACTTCATACTAATAGCATCTGAACTCTCATCTCTCATCTTAGATCTTCTCCAAATCCTAAGTGTGTGAAGGCTAACTAAGCACTGCCCAGAAGTACAAGGAGTTAATATCCTCTGAGACAACTCCAGGAAATGGGAAATAGGAACCATTTATACGCATGTCAGCATCGGCTTCCAGATCTTCATGGAGATAACGTTGGGAGGTTACTCAGGAGATTCCAACGAAGCATGCCCCCATTGTTTTCCCATTAGAATTACATCAATAATGTACTTCTATGATTGATTTGCTTCTTCTCTGTCTCCCTCTTTCTATTTCCTCACATTTTCTACTTTAGATGATCTCCCAAATAAGTTATCCCTACTCAAATTCTTGTCCCAGTCTTTGGTGTGAAGAGAAACGAAGCCATAAGAGGTATCCATAACCTTATATCTAGGTTTAAACATGCTCTTGGAGCCACTGCTGCCCAGATTCTCATAAACAAAGGGACTCAACTTATCAGAAGGCTATAAATAAACTGCAGATGGAGGGTGTAAAAGCATAAAAGAGAAAACTTTATATTTTACCCTGGTTTAAAAATATTTATTGATTATTTAAAAAGTTAATATATGTACATGACAGTGTAAAGGATCTGTGTAAGACACCGTAACAATATAAGAAGTGAGCTGTATAGTCCTTTGGGAACACTGAATAGAATGTCCAGGAACTATCTCATTCATCGTTCTATCAAAATATTTGATGTATAATAACCTAAGAATAGAATTTTAGAGTCTGAACAGAGTAATAGAAAAATAATCAAAATTCATATGAGGATATACTTCTATTTTGGTTGTAAAATTAAAGTGCAATTGCTTGTGCAATATGGTAAAAATAATAATGATCATCAACTCTAAGAGTATAATAATATTTTCATATTATACTGAATACTGGAAAGAATCCAGAAAACACACAGTTAATTGGTAGTTAAATTCCCAAAGAACTAAAGAATCAGGTAGTGGGGTGTGCTGAATCAACAACATCATAACATAACATTTTACATGTGCTGTTAATGGATATTTCCATGAATATTTGCTAGCAGGTCAGCTAATGCAGAATGATATTAGGCAAGAAAATTACTCACAATTGTGTTTAATAAAATGAAAAAGAATTGTCAAATGACACTAATAATAATAATCCTATAGCAGGCTAAATAATTCTATAATAATTGCAAGTATTAATCTCACTTTCTTCACTGATTATGAATCTCCTATATTTTCAATGTAATGGGATGGCAGATTATCTGCAATGAATTGTGAAAACCCAGCAATGACTTTGGCACTGAAGATCTCTCATCAATTGTGATAAATTAAAATCATTTTAGATTTTGGTTAGCTCTTGGTCTTGAGTAGATTCATCAACTTTACTTTTTCATGTGTCTTATAAAAGAAAGGAACCATTATAAATTCTTGCTGTCATTTCATGGAGCCAAAAAAATTGTAGTGGTAACAAAAGGTAGTTGACAGCATTAGTGTAAGTAACTATCTTGAAATACTGGAATTAGAAATAGATTTCCAATATTTTATATAACCTTGCTTCTTTGGGATAGAAAAGAAATGATAACATTGCTTATATTATAGATCCCTGCTATGAGGTAGCTGTTTTTAGCATGTCTATTGTATAATATTTTCCCTTTTTTCTGGGTAACTAATTTATTAGATATCAGTGTGGATTGCAAAACCACTTTTATTGGTGAAGGACACAAACTTGGGTTAGGTTTATAATTAAAAATAGCTGAAAAAGGGAAGAAAAATATTTCACATTAAAACATTTAAGTTTCACCAAAATGTTTATTCACTTTAATAATGATCCTTAAGGTAAAGAAAAACATTTTGAAATACAGTTATCAATCAGTGCAAGTCTAGCTGGCTATTTTTCATATTTGTTTAGTGTAAAATGTGTCTTGACATTCTGGTCTAATTCATTATGTCAGGTTACTTGTGAATTTTTATTATATTAATAGCACAGCATATCTTAAGTTCATGACACTTTAGAAATACACTATTAGGTGCATATTTCACCAAAAGAATTACACAGACACAAAGCCAAGATACCAGAAAAGATGGACGTCTGTGGTCAAGTATATACTCAATGAATGGACAGAAGCCCAGAGTTTGAGTGAGGTCTATAACTATTGTTCAAGACTAGGTTAACCTTTGGCTACTGACATAAATAATCTGTTCTGAAATTGTCACTAAATTAATCAGTACAGTTTAAATCCATGAAGACCAGATTAATTTTAGCCATTTTACCTCAATAAACAAATGGGATAAATTTTAGTTTGGTCAGTTTTTGACCTGATTTCTAACCATTTTACAAGAGTGAGAACTCTCCTGAAATAAGGGTCCTTAAAGCGATAGGTCTTTGGGCACAAGAGTTCAATAAATGATTGTTTTAAGTTATAGACTATTATATAGCACATGTAAGTTATATCAAATTTACGGATTCATATATGTAAACATATGATAATATTTGGGTTATTATTTTATGCTTTAATTATAATATTTCAAAAGTTGTAAAAGATTTAATATACACTTTTTCTAGATATGTTAGAGATAAACTAAACCTTACAGAATCTGCTTCTTTGATGATAATTTTTATTGCCTAAATTTCGGGCCTTATTTCCTGCATGTTAACCTTGTTCCTTATTGGTGAAACAAATTTTTATCATGCTAAGAATTATGAAAATATAATTATTTTAATGAAGAAAAGGGATTTTTCAAGATTGGGTCTTTAAATGCCTAGTAGTCACTAAATTTGTAAAGACCAAAAAAATCAAAGATTTTTATAACTAGAGACATTGGACAGAATAACTTTGCCAGCACTCTTTTTCGATTCATTTATTATATTCATTTCATTCTTTCTACTCCTCCTCTGCCATTCATAGAGAAACGATATTCAGGCTTGAGAGCACTTATGAAACCAAAGGTGGATTAATGAATCATCAAATGGAAAATAGCTAACCTAATCAGTGTTTGTGGTAAGTCCCATGTTTTTAGTGTCTTACTTTTCCCCTGGCTTCACCCATTCTTTTGCCAAAATCAACTTACCTTGTCTTAGGCTTACATACAGATCAACCTTGTGGAAATAAATAGAATTAAGTTACTTAATCAGGTAATCATTTCAAGTTAATTCATTAGATAGTAAATTATTCACTAAGAAATCAAACAAACTCTACCACTACTGAGTTAAATACATATTGTTTAAACATTCACATTTAAGCAGGTAGATATATATACAGAAAAATTTTCAAAGGATAGTGCTGTGGTTTGAATGTTTATTTCCTCCAAAACTCCTGTTGAAATTTAAGTTCCATTGTAACAGTACTCAGAGGTAAGACCTTAAGCAGGTGATTAGGCCGTGAGGGCTCTACCCAGTCCCCTCTTTCCCTCTTTCTCCCACTTCATCTTCCACAGTGTAATGAAACAGAAAGAAGTTTCTCACCAGATGTTGGGTTATCTAAACCACAAAAATAATCAATTTTTTTTGTCAGTTGTCTTTCTAGCTGATTCCAAACTGGACATTTTATTTTTTACCGAATTATTATTTGGTTTTAGTTCTCTTAAAAACATGGTTCATACTCAAGCTGTGAAACTTTAACAAGTGCTCTCAAATGCAGGTTTCTCACAACAGCAACAATAATAACAAAATATACAGAACTCATGAAAAGCTAAAATGTTTATAAATATCAAGCAAAACAAAAGTTAATAAAACTGACTGAACAAAAATAAATTTTTACCTTTTGCTTAGAATGCTGCTAATCTTAATCTTATTGTTCAGTCAAGAAAACTTGTCTTAAGCTAGCTACAGCCTTAAACAACTGTGTAAAGTATACCCCTGTATAATTCTGTAAATAGAATCTAAAGCATGTTTGTTTCTCTGTTCCTTTCTGCCTAGTTCCCTTCAAATTTAAAAACTACTTATATGTATTCTTAAATTACAACAGTATAGTGGTTTGCATCAGTGCAATAGAAATCTATTTTCTTTTGTAATGGAACACAATTGGAAAAACTGGTTATTTTACCAAGGCTTTAACTGGAATGGTGTGTTCTCCTTTAGGAAATTGAACTTGACTTAAAAAGCAATAAAGCCCTTGAGAAACTGGCCAAATACTCTGTGAATGCAGTCCTGTCATACGTAAATTTTCAGTGCTGCAAAAGAAATAGCACTTGATGTAAATTTTTTCAGCAAGGAAATTTTTATTTCTCTAGAAGTGTGCGTCTCACAGATGGAGCGATGGTGAGCACACACCCGAACAGGGGAGTAGAAGGAGTTCTTATCCCTGATGCAGGTAGCCCCTACTGCTGTGTCGTTCCCCCAGTGGCTAGAGTTGGTCCACACAGTCTAAGCAAATTCCGATTGGCTAGTTTAAAGGGAGCAGAGGTGTGAGCCAGAGTGGCAAGGTGAACAGTATGGCAGGAAGGACAGTTACGGGACAGATAACTAAATGTGACTCAGGTCAAAGCAGGGTACCAGGGTAACAGATATAAACTACTAATTAGAACTGGTGGGAAAGTTGTTTACTAAAACTAGGGCCAAGGGGGCAAAGAGAACCAGGAGGTTAAACTTTGAAAGGGAGAACAAAGAACCGAGGAGCTGAACTTTACTGATACATTGGTTCTTTGGAGAGGATCTTAGAACTCATTGTTCTTAACAATTTATAGGCTAAAACCTTTGAAGAAGAATTTATTTTATCCTACAGTCCTTATACAGGGTTTCTAATGTGTGATAAGTAAAGAATGCCCCTTTCTAACAGACTAGTAACCATAAGTTATCTTAAAACCTCAAGAGGAGAGGAATTCACCCAACTCATAGGTATTTAATGGTACAAATTCATGGCTGGGCTGCATAATGAAGTTGCATTAAAGCTGATTTTAAAGGCCTATATAGCAAGTAATTTTTCTTATAATTATTCTTGCTGTACTGTATACAAATAATGAAGGCAAGGAAAATAAAGTAAACCAGTACTATCATGATTTGTCTTTTAATAAAAAAGGGAAACTAAAGAGAGAAAATTATGTTTCAGAAACTATAGTATACCTGTTGTTAAATTCTAGTTTGTCCTAAATTTTTTCAATTTTTATTGTCTTCTACAGTTTAAATTATATCCGTTACAGAAATCAGCTCCTGGATACATCAGATTCAAGTCAAAGCCTAAAGAGCTGAGAAAGCAACTCCTAATAGCCCAGAAAAATGTCCTATCAATGTTAAAAAATAGTAATAAGAACTCTTATGCTGAAAATAATAAAAGATAGGTAATTACGTAAAAGTTACTCATCTTACTCAGTCTCAACCCTACCTCACTACTTATTGTTTTTTCTACATCTCCTTTTAAGGCAAATATTAAAAGCTATTTTAATGGAAATTATTTACTCTGCCACCCTTGCAGGAATTGCATTACTCAGTCTACTATTTGCAGTTGGACTATATAGTGTAGCACTCTTAGGGTGGAATACCAAACAGAGAGCCTCAATTGCTATAGCATTTTGATTATTATTATCCCGATAGCAGGAATAACAATTATTAACAACAACAACAAAAAACCCACATGGGTCTTTCCCAACATGTGCCTCTCCCTGTCATTGGAAAAAAAAAAAAAAATGTTGCTTCTGTCGCAACTAATCAGACCTAATTTAAAAAAGCTGCTAAAAAGCCTAGGACTGTTGTTTTTACCCTGCTTAATTAACCTTTTTCAAAAATTTTTAACTGACAGACTCATGGACATTTCACAGACAACTACCCAAAAACATCTACAGATGGCGTAGCTCCTGTAGTCAATCTAAGACAAAGAAAACTTTCTGCCCCTGCTCAGCAGGAAGTAGTCAGAAAGAACATGTCACTTCTTGTCCCTTTATAACTATAGGGTCTGGAATGACAGAGCAAGAGCACTGTTGTCTTGGACAAACACTGCCACTTTAAGTTCCGGCTCCCTTTCTAGCCTCATACATTTCAAGGAAATCACAGATAGTGAAACACAAATAAGACAGGTTGGGCACAGAGAAAGATGTGGGGAAAGTCTCTTGGGTAACTGCCAAACTTTGCCCTCATACAATGGACCCCAGTAAAACAGTGGGCCTTAATAAGTTCATTTCTTTCCCTTCAGGTGCACTAAGATAGGGAAGCTAAAAGCAGACTCTGGGGATATGCCTGCAGCTGCAGAAAGATGTGTGGAAACAGACACACAACTCTTTCTCTAAGATAAGCACAACAAAGAGACAAAGAAGCAGTCCAAGCCTCCAACAAACTCCCTCACCCTGAATCCTTAAAAACTCTTAGTCTGTACAAGAGCATGACTCTGATATCACTCGGCCAGTAGGCACCTCTCAGGTTTGTTCTCTCTAAAATAAATCTGTCTTGACTGGAGAGCTCCTCTCATGTTTCTTTCCTTTTTCTTTAATTCTCACACCAGATGCTGGCATATTGATATTGAACTCCCCATCCTCCAGAACCATGAGCAAATAAATTTTTGTTTATCATAATTTACCCAGTCTGTGGTATCCTGTTATAGTAGCACCAACAAAACTAAGACAGTAAGAGTGTACAAATACTTTCCCATATTTACTGGATCCTTTGTTACTTCTCTTTTGCAAAATGACCTCTCCCACTTTAAAAAACAAAGGCATTTCTGACATGTTATTACAGCATATTACCCATGTATGAAACCTTCCAGGCAACCAAATAAAAGAGTAACAGGAAATATTATTTTCAATAAAGGTTATTTTTATGGTGAATCAAAGCACAGCAAATCACATCGGGCAACCAGTCTTTCTCTACAGAAGTATGGTGTTAGACACGGGGTATTTTGGACTTGTTGGAATATTGTTAAATTTAATATTTACAAAAGATAAGCAAGGGGAGACTTTACATTTTCAATTTTCTAAATATATTCAAGTAATACATGGCTTTTAGAGAGAAAAACAAAGAAAGCACTGATTTAAAAAGTGATATTTTTTTCTACAAATTTAAAAATAAGAAATTTTTCTTAGCTATGTTCCTCTCATAAACTGCTGAAATAAAATGTATCTAAAGCAGCAAAAGCAATTTAGGTTAGTGACACTGACACAATTATACGTAACTGAATATTTTCAAAATTATCATATTTTTAAAAGTTATGTGGATATAGACGTGACTCATTAAATATTTTATACACTTTCTTTTATGTGTAGTATATTTGTTATTTACAAAGTAACTCACAAACTATAAAACCAAATCAATTTTTAACATATTTAATATAATTACCACCTATCCTATTCTTGTTTAATCTCTGTTTAATATGTTCTAACTTCTAATTTAAAAATCTCTAAATTTGCATACTAGTTGCTAAAGTAATTTCTTGTAAATAATATAGACCTTTGTCTTTCATAACTGGAGAAAAAAATAGATCAGAAGAGCTATATCTAATGGAGTTATATCTAAATATTTACATATGCAGCCTAATTTTTTTTAAAGCAGAATACCAGGCACACTCGTCCCAACACTTTTCCTAAAGGGATAGCATTTTTCTATACTAATTATCTTTTCATAAGTATCTTATAGTTTTAGCTATGTATCTTTTTTGAAAATTAAGTAGTAAGAAATAGCACATAGATTTGAACTCAAGGAAGACAGACATATTTTTTCAAAAAATGTTAAAATAGAAGGTTAGAAATTTACAACTCTTTATGATAAAAGTAAGCAAGAAGCCGGGCACGGTGGCTCACGCCTGTAATCCCAGCACTTTGGGAGGTGGAGGCAGGTAGATCACGAGGTCAAGAGATTGAGACCATCCTGGTCAACATGATGAAACCCCGTCTCTACTAAAAATACAAAAAATTAGCTGGGCATGGTCGTGCGTGCCTATAGTCCCAGCTACTCGGGAGGCTGAGGCAGGAGAATTTCTTGAACCCAGAAGGCAGAAGTTGCGGTGAGCCGAGATCGTGCCATTGCACCCCAGCCTGGGTACCAAGAGCAAAACTCCTCAAAAAAAAAAAAAAAAAAAAAAGCAAGAAGATTACCATACACTGAAACAAAAATGGTGATAACAGGCGTAACTAATAATCTTGCTAGAACATTTTGTAACATGAAATTAACAAAGGTCATAGTTCTAATAAGTAGCTCCCTGTTCTCTTTTAGGTAATTGATGTTTTTGTGAGACAAGGTCTTGCTCTCATTGCCCAGGCTGGCGTGCAGTGGTACCATTGATCACAGCTCATTGAATCCTGGATTTCCTAGCCTCAAGTGATCCTCCCACCTCAGCCTCCAGAGAAACTAGACCTACAAGCATGTGCTACTATGGCCGGCTCAATTATTTATTTATTTATTTGTAGAGATGGGGTTCCTCCATGTTGCCCAGGCTGGTCTCAAACTCCTGGGCTCAAGCCATCCTCTAAGCTTGGCCTCCTAAAGTGATGGGACTATGGGTGCAAAACATTATGGCCAATCAGGGAACTGATTTTGTAGTTTCCTATCCATAACGAAAAAGGAAAAGCTAACAGCGTTTTCAATGATTATGTCATTTTGATGATATATCACCATTTTATGTCTAAATTATAATCTGGAAGGAGTTTAAAGAATCCAGTATCCTTTCCTTAACATTCCCCATCTACTTATAGAAATGAAACTCACTATTAGACTTTATTATGAACTTTATCTAATTTTAACAGCAATGTAATAATCAACTAATTGCAAAAACGACCCTCCTAATATCATTGAAAGATTGTGTTCCAATAAATTGCATTTATTGTTTAATAGCTATTGACACATACTATATTTTTCATTCAAGTATTAATAATGTAAATATCATGTATGCAATAATTCAATGAAGATGAATATTTTACTATTTAGATATTTTAAGATTATTATAATTTCTCTTTATATATGTGTTTATATGTCTATTTATCTATCTACCTACTTACCTATTTTCATTCCAAAACTATATTGTCATCAATAAAGATTTCTTAGCACAAAAACATAATAAACTAGAACAAGTTCTATGGTATAAGTGAAATGGAAATACATTTTAAAAAGAAAATGAGTGGAATGAAATTGCCTACTGTTAAAGAGCCTGCTGGCACCTATTTTAAATGAGAAATGTCATTCATTAAATCACTAAGGTAAAATAATAATTTAACAGTTTTGTTTCTCAATGTTAATATTGACAACACCATGAAAACTACTCCTTGAAACAAGTATAGAGAATCTTCCTTATGCCAGGCACTGGACTGTGAGCAAGTCACAGCAAAAATAAAAACAAAATGTAAACTTTCAATAAGGTTATATTCTAGTGGTAGATGGGATAACCATTTACAAGACTGTAGATTGAATATTATAATAGAATTATATAGATAAAAGTTTTATGGCAGCATGGAGGAGGAAAAAATAATACTGTCACAAGTTATTGGAGCAATATTATTGCTATGGTTAATTATTTATTTAATTATTATTGCATTTCTTGTTTTACTTGTACAATATATCATGTAATTATGGACATGATAAGGTGGTGTTGGGCAACTTTAAGATTAACAAGGTATTTTCTAACTGGGTGACAAATATTAGTCTTAGAGTTGAGTGACAGTTTTTTATATTATTCTATGTGCTGTTGATAAGTTTACTTAATAAATGATATTTACCTAAGGAATATGATACATGAAGTATTTCCTGGAGTAAAAATTGCAGAAAATTTATGTTCTATAAAATTATATTACCCCATGAAGGCTAGTGTTGTAAAATTTTGCATTGATGTCTTCAAAGGAAACTGCTCATTTGCTCTCCCTCTCTGTCTCTTTTCCCCTTCCATTGTGCTGGAAAGTCCACATATACATGGTGAGAGAGTTTTAATCATGTAAATATAGAGCCTGTACTCAAAGGATCACAAAGTCATTTAGAAGTAGTCTGAATGCACAATGACGTAAAGGAGTAGGACCGTATGGCTTCCCTGTAATATACAGGTATCTCTATACTACCACAAAGGGCTATCTGTATTGTTTAAGCCACTGCAGTTTGAATCTCTTCCTTATATAACATGGCCTGTGATCGATTCCTTTCAACCTATTGACATAAGGAGATTAGAAAAATATTTCAATTTAGAATGGGAAAAATTCAAGTTAATCAGTGTGAAGACTGTCATGAGAAGAAATCCTCAGGCATGTTGCATTGCAAAATTCAGGTTTGTACAACAAAAGAACCACACATGGTTTCTGTTTTTGAAAGTACTTTTTTTTTTTTCAGG